ACAACAACAATAACAACTTATCTATCAGAGGTCCTGGTGGTGGAATCCATATTGAAGAAACACTGCAAACAAATTCAATTCACGTAGTATCTCCTAAACAGGTCATTTCCCAGTAATTCCACCCTATTCCTATGAATAAACATGATGTATTTTCTCTACTCAAAACCTTTTAATCCCAAGTAAAGTCTTTATTCAGGGAAAAGACGATTAAGCATTGGGAATGGCACTTCCTCAGAAAGCTGAAAGTAAAAATACCTTATGACTCAGCAATTGTCTATTTGGTAATATATCCACAAGAAATACAAACCAGAACATGAATAGATATATGCACACCAATGTTTATCGCAGCACTATTCACAATAGCAAAAAGATGGAAGAATCGATATACAAACTTTGATACAAACAAAGAATAATGATGAAGCTACAAAACACCTCATAATATGGATGAACCTGAGGACACTATACTGAGTGAAATTGTTGCTGTTGTTAGGTGCCATTGAGTCTGTAACAACACATAGCGACCCTATGTACAACAGAACGAAACACTGCCTGGTCCTGGACTAACCTCACAATTGTCACGCTTGAGCCCATTGATGCTGCCATATTGCCAATTCATCTAACTGGGGACCTTCCTCTTTTTCTCTGACCCTCAACCTTATCAAAAAGGAGCTCTGGTAGCGTAGTGGTTACAAATCGGGCTGTGAACCGCAAGGTCACCAGTTTGAAACTACCAGCTGCTCCGCAGGAGAAAGATGAAGCTTTCTGCTCTCGTAAAGATTTACATCCTCGGAAACCTTGTTCAGGGTTGCTATGGGTCGGATCCGACTCGACAGCACTTAACAACAACAAGTTTACCAAACATAATATCCACTCCAGTGACTGGTCTTTCCTGATAATATGTCTGAAGTATGAGAGACAAAGTTTGGCTATCCTGGCCTCCAAGGAGCACTCTGGTTGTACTTCTTTCAGTACAGATCTACTGGTTCTTTTGGCAGCCCATGGCACTTTCAATATTGTCCTTCCAACACCATAATTCACATCCATCAATTCTTCTATGATCTTCCTTATTCACTGTGCAACTTTCGCGTGCATGTGAGGTTATTGAAAATACCATGGCTTGAATAAGCGCACCTTAGTCTTCAAGCTGACATCTTTGCTCTTCAACACTTTAAAAAGGTCTTGTGCAGCAGATTTGCCTAATGCAATACGTCATTTGATTTCTTGACT